GGAAAGAGTAAAAAAACAGTCTGTTAGAGAACTACCTAGCATATATTACACAAATTAATATCAGTGTAGATGTTATATATATGTGGCAGGGTTCTGAGGTCTGGCTATCCCTATCTAGCCCCTCCAGGGGTCCCTCCACCCTACCCACAGCCCAGAACCCCCTTTCAGACCCTGGGGCCACCAGTCCCTGCCCCAGCGACACTGCAGCAGGACCAGTCTACAGCTCTCCATAGCCTTGCCCTGCCCAGCCATGGGTCCCACTGAGCCAAGACCATGTCCCAGCGCAGCCTCAACCTGTCCCTGTCCTCAGGGAGATGCCTGATGCCTGGGGCTGCCCCTGTGCCCCTGGCTGCTCTGCTGCTGTCTGGGTTGATGGGACAGGCCCTGGCTGCCAGGCTGTGTCCTGCCTGTTCCACCGAAACCCCTGTTGCTCCAGGGCACCAGGGCACCTCCAGATCACAATGAACCCTGACAGTCAGCTCCTGCCATGTCCAGCCCTAAGCATGAAGCACCATAGAGCTTGACCCACAGCTGTTTAGAGTCTTGCCCTTCTAACACCTCCTGAGAGACTAGCCTGGTACTGGCCTCTGAATGCCTCCCCCCCACTGCTGACTCCTTGCCTAACCCCAGTGAGCCCACCTGGCCTCCTGAACTCATCATGGGCAACCTGATACCAGCACCTCCAATTCCAGCACCAAGTGCCCCCTGCCATGTCCCTTTCCCAGTTCATTCTCCCTGCCCTGGTTCCGTGTCCCCTGGGAAAACCCTGTGACAACTCACAGAAATTAAATCTCCCTTCTGAACCAAACCTGTGTGGCTTGACAACATGCTCAGACCCTCGCATGTCCTAACTTTCAAATAGTGTAGGATGAAAATCATCAGACCTCTTTAGGACTCTCTGAATATATGTGCAGTAATAAATTTAACACTGGTGGTGACTGGCCTCATCCATATTGTTACATTCCTTAGACTCTGTTGTGGTTTAACCTCAGTCAGCAACTGAGTACCACACAGCTGCTCGCTTACTCCTTCCCCCCCCAATGGGATGGGGGAGA